AACACAGGACCCCGGGACGTCTGAACAAGGAGCTTCTTTAAGGAGGCTGGAGGAGGAGAAGCAACTTTTTAAAAATAAGTGATCTTCAGAGAGAGGACAAATGTGTGCACTCACACACACAAGGCTGGGACTGCACAGGGCATATGTGGAGACAGTCCTTGCAATCCCTAAATTACTCATGCTTACTGGCCCACACAGACAAACACAGAAGTGTGCTATTCCAACACACACACACACACACACACACACACACACACAAGAACAACCCCGTCCCCACCTAAGCTGCCCCCCACGGTGAAAGGGGAGGAACAGATTTCTGCCATGCGGTGTCTCCGAGCTGCTCCGACAGACGGAGCAGGAACTTACGACGGGGCGGAGCCTTCATGCGCATAATGCCCAGATGGGCCCCTGGACGCTGCGGCACCGCTTCCTCCTATGCACTCACACCCAGCTCCCACAATGCACTATGCGGACGCCTCAGACTGAGTAGGTGAAGACAGGGGCCAGGTTCAAATCGCACCATGTTTCGTAAGCCCTCCTGTCCCAAAAGAGGACGATGAAAAGCTGAATGAAAAGACAGAAGCAGAGATGGCTCGGTTCTAGACTGCAAAGATGGATGAAGTTATAAATAGGTTGCAAAAGAAGGTGTTCATGTTCACATGTAGAGAAACCAGGAAAAAGACAGTTTTAAAACAGTGGAAACACATTTCCTGTGAGCACCAGTGTGTCTCTGACAGTGCTGAGAACTTGAATCCATGCAGATTTGTTTTGATTTCATTGCCATCTATACATAAAACAATCCTTCCATATCAACATACTTTTGTTGCCACCTCAGATTTTGTAGTTGGCTAAAAGATTTCATTACTGCGACATCACAAAACATGTATGCACTGCTTAATCCAAAATCTGGTTTCACCTTTTTTCATATATAAAGACAGGAGCACAAAGAATATATTAACTGCAAAGTATTTTTGTAATAACAGGCATAAAGTGGTTTGCAAAAGTATTAGGTGTGAGGATCAAACAGTATTTTAAGGAAGCTAGGGATAAAAAATAGACATGCACAGTTTAAGAAGAAGCTACAGAAAAACAGGTAATCCCACGTAATGACAGGGAGAAGAAGACTGACTGAATTGGAAAAACTGAGACATATTGTTGAAATTGCACTTATTTTTCTTAAGACATGTCAGGTTGTTAGTCTGTTTCGTAAAGGATGAACGTCTACAGAATGTACTTGCAATTCTTTACACCAAAAAGGGGCAAATATCAGAGCTGATGGTACTTATAGGTTATAGTGTGGTGGTTTTATTGGTCCAGCCCATCTGAGATCAAATTGGGCTGTATGTTGCCCATGTACTAAAATGAGTTTGTCATCCCTGCTATAGACCCTTTTAGGGCTAACGTCACAATGACGTCATTTTATTAGCTGGAGGCAAAACACAACTCGCCACCACAGGGCTGTAGGCTACATAGGAGTCTTAAAATGTCGTCTTGTTGTGTTATTGGGAGCCAGAATAGAAGGAGTCATGACTCAAAACTTTATCACATACCAGCTGCCACTGCCCGTCAACAAAAACAAAGATAACTATGGTTAAATGTGATAAGGCAAAAGGACTGGACGGAGGCGATAATCAAAAATGCTCACATGTGCAGCGCACACTTCATAGCAGGTTATTGAAATAGTATTTACTGTTGTAGAGATAAATAATGTTACGTGTATTAAGGGTTATTATGCCAATGTCACGTTGTATCTTAGCGGGTCTTTGTCATCATGTGTAGTTGCCCTTTTTGCACTTTTTATGGTTCACTTCTAGCTAACATACTTTTTGGCAATAGTAATCCTATTTTGTGTCTGATATTGCTTGTTTTAGAGCCTTACATTTTTATTCTTGCCAACCATCATAGCAAAGTGTTCACTTATTTCTTCTCAAAATATTATTAGTTATGTAATTAATGTCATCAGACAGGAAACCCCAATAGAGAGATGACCTCTAGCTCTCCTGTGCGCCCAATGTAGACTAAGTCCTTGGCATTGGCCTGCAAAAGTATTAGGTGTGAGGATCAAACAGCATTTTAAGGAAGCTAGGGATAAAAAATAGACATGCACAGTTTAAGAAGAGGTTACAGAAAAATATCCAAGTTTTGGGATCAATAGTGAGGAAATGGAAGCTGCATCATGCTGTCCAGGCAAGGATATCCCTTGAAACTGAGCATCCAAGCAAGAACGAGACTTGTGAAGGATGCTAGCCACCAACAATTCCACAATTGCTCCAGAGGTCAAAGTGGAGTGAAAATGCACCAGCCAACCATAAAACTAGCCAGTATGGATGGGAGACTAGAGAAACCATTGCTCAAAAGAAACCATATCAAAGCATGGTGAAGCTTGCCAGAAAGCATGCCAGTGACCCAGCGTAGATATGGGACAAGATTTTGCGGTCAGATGACACCACAATAGAGGTTTTGGGGCAAAATTCAAAGCGCTACAGTGTGTGTGGGGCAAACCTAACACCGCTTATGTCTAAACAAACACCATACCCACATTAAGGTAAGGTGATGGCAACATCAGGCTGTGGACACTTTCCACAGCAGGGGCTGGTCATCTTGTTAGAACTAAAGGAGGAATGGATGGAGCAAAATAAAGGCACCTCAAATGAACTGGCTTAAGTGTGCCAAAAAGTTGGCTCAAGGCCACAGAAACACAGGACTGTTCTCCACTGGACGAGCCAAAATCCAGATCTCAATCAAGGAAAAATTTCTCATGTCAAGGACTCCCTATTAAAAACCACACACACAAATTTGAATAAGGTTTTGACCATGGACCCCGTAAATAATGAACATTAAATTTTGCCCCTTTTGTTGTGTCTTTTCTGCAGAAAGGAAAGTCACGTCCAGCTCTAACTCAATTTATACCTAATACACAATTTGCTAAAGAAAGCAGGGGTAGTCGCCTTCAACCCATGATACCATAGGGGAGAGCAGGGCACAACCTAACACATTTTAGTTTTGGCTCGATGTCATTAAAACTGTTTGTGATTATTATTTTTTTGTTTTGTTTTATTCTAACATGCACATCTCCGCTACAAATGATCTGTTGCTGTTTTTTCTAGAACTTACCTTTCTTCTACAAGTGCACCGAGAAGTGGTGGAAATTAAATGTCACAACGTACCCCATGGGTGGGGTTTTATGTAGCAGGCAGAGGGTTAGTTGTGTGTTCAACACAATTTATTCATCACAGTTTTATCTATATGCTATAGACTGATACTGTTTATAGATCTATATCTGATAGCTATCCAAACATCCTTATCTAACCACCAATGCTTCATGAATGGAGAGATGTATGGATTAGGGATAGACCGATATGGATTTTTTAGGGCCGATGCCGATACCGATTTTTTATTGATTATTGATTTGCTATTGATTATTATTATTATACATTCAAATAAAAAAAAGAGTTCAGTGCTCTTAAATCTTCCAGTAATATCTTTATAAAAAAAACAAATATTTAAGCTAAAGCATAAATAAAACAACAACTACTGTACACAGTAGGATTCGCTGCATGTGCGCTGCAGGGTCTTCCGGCAACACAGAGCTGCCCGTGGATGCCTGTCTGTAAATCATGCCAGGGAAAAATAAATCCGCGAACCCACGCGCGTATCGGCTGAAGCCGATACAAGTAAAAAAACTCAAATATCGTCCCGATATATCGGCCGGCCGATGTATCGGTCTATCCTTAGTATGGATATTATATAATGTTTCTCTTTTCATCTGATATGGATATAGACACCTATCTCTCCATCTACATTTGGGGAAGGATATGCATCCATACATCTGTTAGTCTATCATCGATATTTAACGTTTGGACAGATAGATGTACATTCGTTGGGTAAACTAGATCCACATGTCAAAATTTGAGGATTGAATGTATGACTATTGACAAGATTGTGAAACTGTGCCAATAAGATACCTGACAAATTAAAAATACAAAGCTTATGTCATTAAATTAAGGACATTAGTTCAAACTGAACACAAGTTTGATGTGCAAAAATAGAGAGAATGCACTATAGGAGTCTTAGCTGTAACAACATGTTACAACAAACCCCACCCGGTGGAGATTTAATCAAGCATCTCTAAGACTTAATAGGGGTTGTTTGCATAGTTCAAAATGGTGCTGTTTTTAGGCAACAAGGCAGTTGTTTAGATAATATCTGGTTGGATTTCTGGTTCGGTGACTTACATAGACGGCTCATTAATCAAAAAACAAGCACGAATGTCAGCCAAAAACACTTGTTTTTACTGAACTCCACCGAAACTCGTCCAATCTCTGTGGACTTTTGCAGGACACTGTTTGGCATTATTGTGGTCAACTGGCCAGAAGCATGAAAAGATCAACCCTTTGCAACCACTTAAAAAGTCCACGTTAAAATTTACCCCGTGTACGGAGGGTCCCCGCACTCCCCTACAGAATCTGGTCGGCCTAAAAGCCAATACACGTGATTGGCTGCATGCAATCAAGGTTCAAAGGTTTTTTATTCAGTGTCATTTTACAACAGAGGCTTGCACAATGAAATGCAAGTTGTAGTCGCTTAGTTCTATAAACACACACCCACTCACCCCACACACACACACAAAAAACATAACAGATATATATTTAAATTAAAATAAAACAAAATACTACATGTCTATGTATGTCTAGGCTGCACATAGAAAGTGTGTGCATTAAGTTCAATATGGTGTAATATCTTTTTGCTTTATTAAAATACCTCTGCCTTAAATGAACTCACTAACAACTTAAATAAAACCACCTAAAGTCACCCAGTTATTATATTCCTTAATAAAACAGCAAGAAGCACGGTTATTATTTTTAGGTGAACTCCTCTGAGGTCACCTGCGTCCGTTTATGGCGCAACTCGAGCACGTGGACACTTTCCCGGGTGTCAGCTCAGGGCAACTGGACAGCCCCCATCATTCTGGATACAACTTGTCACTGTGTGTTATTTACCTGCCACGACCATTTTGTCCTCTCTCCCCTTCAGAGCGCGGTCTCTGCTCGGCATCTGAGTCTTATCTGCCATTGTGTCAGCGGCGGCAGCGAGTGACACCCAAACTACAAGGAACCAAAGTGTGTGTGATTGAGTTTGGAAGAACAACTGTAAATATGACAGGCTCTTCCGGGGTGCCTCCATAGCGCCACGCTGGCTGCTGCGTTTCCACGGCGGTGGATGGAGGAACAGAGAGGAGGGAGGAGGAAAGGAGGGGTGGAGAGAGAAGAGACGGCGGCGAAAACGCCACCAATATGAATATTCATCGTGCGTGGGCACCGTCGTGCACTGCATATTAACTAATCAAGGGGTTAATATGACTTTGGCACAAAAGCCTACAGTGCACCGTGTGCGGGAACGAAATTAAATTTAAATAAATATCCGCGCCGTTCCGCATGCAAATGAGCTCGCGCCAATTATCATCTCTCATTCGGTGGGAGGTGCTTGTGGTGGATCAGGTTGGAGTATGGATGTATGGATGGGTACATCATCTCCCTTTGTGGTTGGTTTTGCATCAAGGAATGTGGGTTAATCCTGATGAGTAAGAGCTTCAAGAGTCCACTGTTAATGGCCTACAGAATGGCTCAACCCCTGCATCCACATACACATGTGTGGACATGTCTGTGTGTAGAAGGTTACTAACTGTCAGGACTGACTAGATGATCCTCTTTTAGAATATCACTATGGCCCCCTTTACACCTGGCATCAACATGCGTTTCTTGCGATCGGATTGCAATCGGATAGCGCTTGACCACATACATTTAAACCTGGTATTAATATGCGTCTCTGGTGTCCACAGCCAGATGCCTTTGCTATCCGATCACGCTCTGTTCCACTGACGTCACATCCTCCTCTTCTTCTTCTGCAAACATTTCCAGCAGCAGACTACAACGTCATATCCTGTGCGCCGCAATAACAACAACAACAACAACAACAACAAGATGTTAGCCACCCGTGAAGTGGTGTTATTTTATGAACACTTTTGTCAGACCAAAAACCACAAAAACAATGGAGCAACACCAAATTTATGCATTTTTGCACCTCCTCACTACTCCACGTCCGCCCACGAGACATTTTCCAACTTTTTCTTTTTTTTTTTACCTTTGCTTCTCCTGGTTCGCACTGTTAGCTTTGTTTTTTTTTCTACCCAAAATGCGCTGCACTCTACGTCATCTTTAGTCCACTTCCTCTCTTTGGTTCCCTGGATAGTCCGTTTGCATTTCCCACTGTAAGTGAACCGCACCAGGGTTCACTTGCAAGTGAACCAAGACCCCCAGTTTTCAAGCGGACCAAGGTTTGCTGGTTCGGTCCACACCAGAGTTCGAATTAACGTTCACACCACTCCAAACAAACCAAACTATCCATGGAAGCGGACCAGGATTCGTTTAAAGCAGACCAAATAGCGCTAGTGTGAATGCGTCCTAAGAGGTGCTCGGTTTCAGGAGCAAGTCAAATAATGCCGACTTCAAAAAATTCAAAAAACTCTGCTTCAGAGGCTTTTCCACACTGACCAAAATACAACTCTCTGATAAAACAATGAATACTTACTGTGACCATGTTTAAAGATATTAATCATTGTGCAACATATCGTCAATCAGCAGCTTCACTTCAAAAGAATCTGTATAAGGAAATGTCTGGATAAATGCACATGTAATGACAGTGAGAAGAAGACTGACTGAATGTGGAAAAACTGAGAAATATTGTTAAAACTGCACTTATTTTTCTTAAGATATGTCAGGCTGTTGGTCTGTTTAGTAAAGGATGAACATCTACAGAATGTACTTGCAATTCTTTACACCAAAAAGGGGCAAATATCAGAGCTGATGGTACTTATAGGTTATAGTGTGATGGTTTTATTGGTCCAGCCCATCTGAGATCAAATTGGGCTGTATGTTGCCCATGTACTAAAATGAGTTTGTCATCCCTGCTATAGACCCTTTTAGGGCTAACGTCACAATGACGTCATTTTATTAGCTGGAGGCAAAACACAACTCGCCACCACAGGGCTGTAGGCTACATAGGAGTCTTAAAATGTCGTCTTATTGTGTTATTGGGAGCCAGAATAGAAGGAGTCATGACTCAAAACTTTATCACATACCAGCTGCCACTGCCCGTCGACAAAAACAAAGATAACTATGGTTAAATGTGATAAGGCAAAAGGACTGGACGGAGGCGATAATCAAAAATGCTCACATGTGCAGCGCACACTTCATAGCAGGTTATTGAAATAGTATTTACTGTTGTAGAGATAAATAATGTTACGTGTATTAAGGGTTATTATGCCAATGTCACGTTGTATCTTAGCGGGTCTTTGTCATCATGTGTAGTTGCCCTTTTTGCACTTTTTATGGTTCACTTCTAGCTAACATACTTTTTGGCTTTTCTCTGTAGTAATCCTATTTTGTGTCTGATATTGCTTGTTTTAGAGCCTTACATTTTTATTCTTGCCAACCATCATAGCAAAGTGTTCACTTATTTCTTCTCAAAATATTATTAGTTATGTAATTAATGTCATCCGACAGGAAACCCCAATAGAGATGACCTCTAGCTCTCCTGTGCGCCCAATGTAGACTAAGTCCTTGGCATTGGCCTGGGATCGAGTGCAACCCGTGGCCCTTTGCTGTGTAAGATCCCCTCTCTTGCAAATTGCAGGGTTTTTTTCAAGTACAATCCCCTTAGTACTGTAAACATGATTTGACTTATATTGATATGGTAGAAGTATTATCTTTGTTTAATGGGAGGAAAGTTTGGCACATCAAATCACGGTTGATCAGAGGAGGCCCGAGACTGGAGCCTTGGGGAACTTCACCCTGTTTTTGCTCACTCAGATGCATAACTGCCTGTTGACACAAAGTTGTTTCTGTTCTATAGACATGACTGGTTAGAGCTGTGCCAGAAAGTCTTATAGAAGTTTCCAGATAGATCAGGCAGTCTTGAAACTTGTGTAAGACTTTATGGCACAACAATATACTGTTGTTGTACCAGGGAGCCTCTGCAATATCCTGCTTCTGCTTTGCTTTGTTTGTCAAAGCACATTGTGAACTCTGTTTTTAAAGGTGCTATATAAATAAAGTTATTACTATTAATTTGTACATGATGTAAAATGAAGGTTGAAAAAAAAATAGAACTATAAACACCACACACTAAAGGCAGTTACAGCACATGACTTGGCTCCTGCTATGCTCAGGGCATACTGGTATGTGACAACAGGAGCAAACATTTGTTTACATTCCTGTCTGTTTGGGAGCAAAGAGATAATGAGTCCATGCGAGCACAGCAGCAGTTGGAGTTTTCTTTGAATTGATCTTGTGAGTTCAATAGTCATAAAACATTTCATTATTTAATTTAATTTAGTTTATTTGATATTTGATATGAAATTATGTTATGTAAATCTGATTTTCATCATCATCGTACTTTAGTGAGGAGCAGTATTTAGAGGTGTCGACAAAGCACACACACCTATGTCTGTCTCCTTTAAAATGACTGACATGGCAAACATCCAAGAAAACTGCATGGGCAGAAGTGGGTGCTTTTGACTTGGTACTTTTAAAGGCACTAATTAAAACAGAAACATGAATCAATTATATGAAGTCATTAGGAACAAATTTATAAACAAAGTCCTGAAAAATTGGAATGATACAATAAAGAACCAGTGAGACACGACAAAAAGTTTATCTCTGGGGTCTGCAGGTACTCAAGTGGGTAGGATGAGACTTAAAACACATAAATCAAACATACACTAACAACTCACAATGCAGTGTTGCAAAAAACATTCACAAAAACAATGGAAGCACCTAAAATATAACGCAAAGTGTCCATAAATAGTAAAATAATCTGGCTATTTAATGTACGTGACTCCACACTACTCCATTTTGGGTGTCTTTATCTTTAGTTTTCTTGTCATTTAAACCTGAGTACTATATTTTTCTTTAAAACTTTAATTTTTGTGTTATGATATGTAGCTATACCTGCATGTAGGGGTACGTTCCTTTGAGTTTATACATGTAACCTTTATACATGCATGTTTGACAGCTAGGACTGCCCGCCACACAACACTTCTCTATAGTGCATTACCAGTCGTCATTCAATTTTCAATTTTATTTTTCAATTCAATTTTATTTATAAAGCCCAATATCACAAATCACAATTTGCCTCACAGGGCTTTACAGCATACGACATCCCTCTGTCCTTAAGACCCTCACAGCGGATAAGGAAAAACTCCCCAAAAAAAACCCTTTAACGGGGAAAAAAAAAACGGTAGAAACCTCAGGAAGAGCAACTGAGGAGGGATCCCTCTTCCAGGACGGACAGACGTGCAATAGATGTCGTACAGAACAGATCAGCATAATAAATTAACAGTAATCCATATGACACAATGAGACAGAGAGAGAGAGAGAGAGAGAGAGAGAGAGAGAGAGAGAGAGAGAGATGCAGGTAATGACAGTAGCTTACAACAACATTAATGAAAGTAAAAATATTATAGTTATAGTCATGTATAAGGTTAGATTATTAAAGATACAAGATTGATTTTAATGCATTGATTCAGTACCCCATGTAAATGTAGGTAGGCTATATAAGCTCAGTACGAGGGGCAGCTGTGGCTCAGGAGGTAGAGCAGGTCATCCACTAACTGGAAGATCGAAGTATCCTTGGGCAAGATACAGAGCCCCAAATCAGAGCATTTAAGGTGAGCAGCAGTTTTCTACCCAAAATGCAATGTGCTCTACATCACTTTCTCTCTTTGGTTCGCTGGACAGTCCATTTGCATTTCCTACTGTAAGCGAACCGCACCAGTTTTCAAGCAGACCAGGGTTCACTTGTTTGGTCCGCACCAGAGTTCAAATGAGCTTTCACACTACTCCAAATGAACCAGACTATTTGTGGAAGTGGACCAGGGTTCGTTTAAAGCAAACCAAATAGCGCCAGTGCAAATGCGTCCTAACTTGAAGATTATGTAGAAAAATCTATCAATGGGTGCAGGGGGACCCCACCAACCTACCTGACTATACCGTTGCTTTTTATTATAACACTCTGAACAGGTAAGTACGTCTTTTTTGTTGCGTCCATGTTGTTCCCACATTACAGCTCAAAGCTCATGAACACACCTAAGTCAGAAGAACAGCAATCTGAGGAGCCTGTGAATGCACCATTGGCCTTGGCTGGTGGAGGCCTCGAGTCTTGTTTTTTTGTTCCTTGCTTGCTCATTCAGTGCTGCTGCTGCACTACAATAATTACAGAGTGGGTGAGTGGGGAAAAGTCGGGAGAATCATAAGCACACGGGCATTCGACAGGCTAACCCGACAGTTCAC